TCAGTCCTGCAGATTCTAATCACAGAACACTGGAATGCAACTATTTGGCAGCACTGCCAGGATCTCTATAACAAGCAAATGAACACTGGATACAGATTTTAGAGAAAATTGACAATGGCTGTAACCTACTTTGTGAATGCAACCAGCTTTGTACACCCTTGCAGTAGTTAAGCAAAACATGACAAATTCTTATTGAAAAATGAAAGCAGCTCAAACAGTGATGTTTTACTTAATGTACTTTGTATTTTATTCTAATGCAGTCTGAGGGAAGCATCTATTTAGTTAAAATATGTAGGCTTTGTATCATTCAAATAAATAAATCTTAAGAATATGAGAATTGCCAGTTTGATTCAAAACAATGGCTCAAAAGCTATGCATTTATTTTATTTTAGAACTTTGAAAGGCTACCTTTTATTAAGGACTATCACACAAAGCCCTTTAAAACACCAGAGTACAGTGGAAGAAACGGTTGTGAGTGGGATGAGACTTAATGGTAGAAGAAAGGAGAAGGCTCTGTTTTTTATTTTTATTTTTTTAAATATATTCTTTTTAAATTTAAATTTTCTTTAAAAATACACATTTTTATCAAATTTTCACTTTAACCACATGAATCAATGTACAGTGAACCATTGGTGTCTATTGGAGTTTGGTTCCAGGACTCCCCGTGGATACCAGAAACAGTGGATGCTCAAGTCCCATTAAATAAATGGCATAATAAAATGGTGTCCCTTATATAAGATGGCAAAATCAAAGTTTGCTTTTTAGAATGTATATATTTTTAGAATATTTTCAAGTTGTGGATGCTTGAATCTGTGGATAAAGAATCCATGGATAAGGAAGGCCAACTGTACATGTAAATACATTTAGACTGTGCATACAAGGTATTTTAATTTTGCTAGTTCTTTGTGTCAGAACTATTGCCATTACATTCAGTGTTATACAGGAATTATTTATGAGTAAGATCAGTACAAAAGACATCCCTAAGGATTCTGTATGGTGTGGTATGGAAAGAGGACAATGGGGTGGGGTGGGGGTGACACCATGTTACCATACCAGGTGACGCCAACCCTAGCAACATAGCTGTGCTCAAGTGATAGTCATATCATGTTAAATATAATTCTTTCTATTGACCATTATTATTAGTAATCTCTGATATTCTTTTTTTAAATTGCCACAATTTTCTATCAAGATATCCCACAGCACCACATTCTATGTATGGTTTATGAATTGGGTGAAGGAATACATTCAGTACACTTTAGATGTGATCTCAATTTAAACAATACATTCTTTTTACTTTCTATCTACATTATCATGGACAAATGTCAGGCTTATGGAATCTATACATCCTTTTTAGTAGAAAAAGAGTTTTGTGGGACATTTTTTAAAAAAATAAATAAGTCTGAAAATAATGTAACAAAATGTTTGGTACCATGTACTTCCTCCAGGGCAGACTCAAGATATTTTGCTTTCTGAAGCAAAGTAGCAACTCCCGCTATCCTTGAACCGGCCAAGTTATTTTGGAACAAGAGGAAGAAAATCCCTCAAACATTTCCCCATCTCTATGAATAAAAATAAAGTGACATAAGAAAATAAGTGGTTAACATTTTGCTGCCTTTTTATGAAATCCCAAATCTACTGGCTGAGATGGTTGGCCGTATTGCAATGTAGTTCCTTCTCTACATTGTGATTACCCCAATAAATTTTACAAGCTTCATACTATTTTTCTTTTATGTAGCTTAAATGTGCAACTCTTTGTACAGAAGCTGATTGTCTCACACAAAGATCATTCTAGCTGCCATTTTGTATTCTTTTTTAGTTTTTTAAACTCTGAAATCTTTTCAAGCCAACATCAGTTAGCATCCAAGACATCCCCTCTGTGGAGGTTTCCCTACCAACCATTCATTTGGTCAATTGTATCACAAATTGCTATGAATTTTCAGTGTTTCTTTTCTTCCAATAAGTCTGAATACAAACTACCATGTCAATCAGTCATGGTGTTTCAGCTTGTGGGCACAGAGTCAACAGAAAGATTGATGAAGAGGGATGTTTCCTAGGCTTCATTCAAGGTCCTTGGCTTTTCTTTTTAAATCAAAAAAGCAGTGCTCTAGAGGCTGGGGTAAATAAAACTGTTCATTGGTATAAAGTAATATGTACAGCAGCAACTTGCCATGTTGTTGTTGAAAGCTCATTCCAAAACTACCGTTTATATGGCATCACATGTAATCTTAGGGGCTCTGCAGACGGTGCAGGGTTAGGGTTTTTAGATTGTATTGATGTAATTTTAATTGCTGTAAGCCACTCCAATTGTTTTAACAGAGGGGCGGGATATAAATAAATTTTATTATTAGTATTAGTATTAGTATTATTAAAGTGCCATCTTGGAGCCAGGGAAGGGAAGGGGCAGCCGGACGCCGGGCGCCTCAACTTCTTCTGGAGGACATCATCAGAGCTCCTGCTGTTGTACACGGCAAATGCTCTGATGATGTCCTTCCGGCGCAGCGTCCAGATACACTGGGCCGGAAGAGACGAGTGGTGTCTCTTTGGGCACTCCTTCTGCCCACTCTGGAAGGAGCACTAATCCAGAAGGGTGGATTTGGGCTGAGGTATGGGGCAGCCTCAGCCCCAATCCTTTGCTTCTCAGGGCGGCCCATGGCCACCTGTCTGCAAAGCCCCTTAGTCTGTTATTTTGGCCTTGACTCTGACTTCACAGTGATGAATTGATGTTGATTTACATTCTTTGTTCAATTTATTAAAGGGGCCTTGGTATCCGCTCAGGTTTGATTCCAGGATCCGCCATGGATACCAAAATCAGTTGATGCTCAAGTCCCATTAAATTCAATGACACAGTAAGATGAAGTCCCTTATATAAAATGGTGAAATCAAGATTTGCTTTTTGGAATTTGTATTTTTAAAAAATATTTTCATGCCATGGATGGTTGACTCCATGGATATGAGGGTTGACTATGTGTGAGAGTGAATGATAAAGAACCAGATGTATGAGTCCTATGTCTTTGGTACTCATACAGACTTTCATCTGGTTTATATTATTTTTTTAACTGATGTAATTTGCAATTCTCAGAAGATGTGTATACAAAAATGTGTATGATAAGTTAATGGGGCTGGTCAAACTGAAATGCTTAACATGACATCTTTTAAGATATTAGGGAATATTGTGCACAAATATGCATATGTTAAGGAAACATTTTACAAAAGAGTGCATATTTGAGATAGTTGCACATGAAAAGTAATTCTCTTCTTGAGGTGCACTTTTAAAAAGAACTGGTGCAGGCAGATGTGGAAACTGGATGGAATATGTTTACAGATGCATGAAAAGCTGACAGGGACCTGCAACAGATTCATCCATTCCTAGTCATCAAATGTGTTCTGCTAGCTTCCAATTTATTCTTTGTTCACAATATGTTCATGTAACCCCTCCCCCCCATCCCTACTCTTTTCAGCTATCACCAATCTGACTTAAAGCTGGGAGGGAGCTTTTCAGGGTCCATATGGCATTCAGAGGTTGACCTCTAGACTATAACTGTCACTCTGGGTGTCAACTAGTGGCAAGGCAGTTGTGTGGGTGGTTTTTGTGGGTGACCCAAGGTGGAAGGCTCTGTATTCTATTATCAGCCCCTTGTACAAACTATAACCTTTGATTTGGTGCAGACATTAAATCACCACCATGTTGGAAAGTTTATTTTTTCTCTCTAATTTGGTAGGCATTTCATTTTACACTTTTTAAAAAGTATAGAAATTGAGCCAGAGATGACTTAGCTGTGGAAGAGAATTACAGAACAGCACATCAGTGTGACTTTGTGTTCACAGTAAGGTTGGAATTAATGAACTGGATTTTAAATTTTTGTTT